ATCTACTACAACATACAGCACCACTCATTATGAATGTTTATACTAAAGGACAAACCCCCTCCATGGAGAAAAGCCAGAGCAAGACTGATGTTATTTAAATTACTATTAAATTTACCAGCCATACTTTCCTCCTGAGCATAACTGATAGTTTTTTTTCTTTCCACTAAAATGTTTAAATAATTGTGCAATAATGCACTAGGACCATGATTTATCTGTACCATTTAACCAAACTTATTGTTATGATACAAAAAGGATGCCTTCCCTACATATGAGTGATATGCAGCAATGGTTTTGAAATTATTCTTTGGTATCACCTCATTGTGTAAAACTAAAACAAGATACATGTTTGGTATTAATAGCTAAAGGGCATTTTCTAACTTACACATTTCCTCATGAGTACAGAACCTTCCAGTGCTGAAAAGGTCAACAGTTGTTCTAACATGGAATACTACTGAACAAATAACCTATGCCTAATAGTTATACAAACACAAAGGAATCTTATAAGACATTCTTATTCCACTGCAAAAGTAGATAATTTTTCCTTAAGCTGCTATGCTATCAATAACTCTGAATCTTCAAAATTAATATGTACACATTATATATAAAAATACATAAACATGTAAAATATATTTACTATTATAGTATATATATAATTTATAATTTATTCTATGTCTATTTAAAAATACTTGTCTTTGTGCAGCTTCCAAAGGTGTTCATCTTTGTAAACACAAGAGGAAGCACAGTGAAACAACATGCAATTAATCTGGAAAATCCAGATTTTTCCAGGGATGTAATTCTACAGTGGCAGAACAAAGATCAACAATGTCCCATGTGCAGGACTGTTTTCTGTCAAGGGAAACGTGAATGTTAGAAAAGTGGGGAAAAAAAAAACCCTCACAAAACCCAATCTACATAAGTCATTATAAAAATAACAAAACAAAGGAAGATGGCAATCAACAGTAAGGGAGAAGAGGAAATAAATTTTAAGGGTAAGACACTGAATGGAAAATTAATTTTTTGGATGTCAGTCCTTGCTGCAGAAAAGGAATAATAGCCTTAGAATAGTTCTCTATAGATAAAAGAAATGAGAATAAAGTACTTGAGCCAAAAGAAAGAAAAGACCATGTTACCATCCGAGTCACAATGGTACTATCTAGAAATTCTAACAAAATTTTTGTCATCTATTCAGCGTATCACTCTCAAATAATAATAAAAACCTTTATGACTAGATCTTGTATATGGGTCAAGAGTCAACATTTACATAAAAGCATGATCCAGACTAGCAAGCTGTAATTTCAGGATCAGGTAGAAAGCAGAACACATTTACAAATTCAGCATAACAAGGGCACATCAGTACAACTCCCAGACTCAAACAGCTATTTCCATAGCTTCTTTTTCCTTGATACTATAGAAGTTACTGGATTTTGAACAATATTCTAACAAAATTCTCTGCAACTGACTATTGAGGAAACTGAGATACAACAAGGTAAGAAACAATTTTAGATATAGACCACAAACTGCTAGAACAGATACAAATCACAAAACATTCAGAAGAGTTAGGTTAGAATTGAGCACGACACTCCTCAGAGTCGGTAAATGAAAGGTACAGAGGAGCTATCTAGCTGGAATTGTGCAGATGCACCATGTAAATAATGCTGAACAACAATCCCAGGGCAGGATATCCAAAACCACCCAATATTCATTTTCTAAAGCAACTTGAGCTCTAAAGACACTATCTGGCACTAAAAAATTTGTATGAGTTAGGATCTCAAGTCTCTTGCTAATATGAAAACAGATGACATTTTTAGATCCAGATGCAGTAAAATTCTAAATAGTCACTAAAGGAGCAGCAGATTCAGACTAGGAAACAAGATATGCAGTACAAAGAAAGAAAGTGTTGCTGAAGCATTCAGGATGAAAAAAAGAATAATGCAGAGAACAAGGAAAGTGAGCAGAGTCTCACAACTGTGCCAATAAAGATCTTCAAGATCCATGACATCTGGATGTTAAAATAGTCTGCAGTAGGTTTATGTAAAATTAAACATTAAACACATTAAAAGAATTTTAAAGCTCCAAAACCAAGGACTCTGATAGAAAAACATTAGAACTGTGTACTTCATGTGGCCCTGCTACACCTTTTGAGCCTAATGAGTCTTTTTAAATAAACTAAGCTTATTTAAAGCACTGCAGTTCAAGAAACTGATTCAGGGTGATCCTATAAACTCAACAGCAGAGCTTTGACTTTCAGATCTAGAGATGACCTACCACAGTTTGGGAATGCAGTAACAGCCAATGTTGGGACATTACTTCTTTGTGTAGAAAGTTATACAGTAGATAAAAGACAGAAGAGGACCAAAAAATACACTACAACTTGCAAATTTCTGGACTTCCTCCTCTCAGCAAACCAGAAAAATATATTCTCACATACAGCTATGACTCCTGAATTGAATTTAGAAGTACTTACAGGGGTGTGTGTTATGGAAATTGCAATTATTATTACCTGCACCCAGTGTCCCTTTACATGCACATGCCTCTACAGCCTTGTGCTCCACTCTGATTCAAGCTCCTGCCTCTCTGCATTTCTTTTCCCTCCACATCAGACCCAGCAGTCTCAACCCTTCACAGTCTATTCTCTGTAACCATCTGGATCTCCCTCTCCCCTTGTGTTGCTATTCTCAATCCTAAAACTCCTTGTCATCAGTCTTCTGGTTTAGGACTCCTGCTGTTCCCTGATACTTCTATCTTCTCATTACCTTTTCACCCCACTTTTCACCTCACTTTTCACTACCCTAAAAGCCAAAATACCAGTCAAATTCTTTCTCCCATCTGTACTGATATAGAAACAGGTATAAGAACAGCACATTTTCTGTTTATGCTTGGTGCCTGCACATGGCTCCTTTTGCCCACTCTTCCCTATCTACCCTTTGAGGATGAAGTCATCTGTTCACACCATCTTAACTAGCATCTGCACAGCAATGGCTTATAAGCATGTCTATCCATCCACCTACTCCTGATTGCCTCCATATGGTACTGCTTCTTTTCCTGATTTTGTATCCAGAAAACTTAAGCTTAATATATGTTCACAACTCAGCTCCTTATCACTCCTCTCAAACACTTTTTGCAGATAAAACTTCTGCCAGTATCACCTGCTGTCATACAGGTAGTCTTTTGTGACCCCTTTGCTTGCATTTGAACCATATATTCATGGTATACCCAAAATCCTGTTACAATCTTCCTCTGTGTGTACATCTTTTTCCAACAGTACAGCTCATCCAATACCTCCATCTTTGTTCAGGCATACACTGAAGAATTAGAAAGGGAGATGAAGATTCATCTGTTTAAATTTAGACAGGCTTCCTTACTTATCCTTAGTCATACTGAAAGTGAAGCAAGTAAATCTCTTTAATATATTAGTATTTATGCTTTGATTTCAGCAATCCTCTTTATCACATCACCTTTAAGAGCTATGCTGGTATCACTGTTTTCAAGCTCTTGGGAGGCAGATGATACAGAGACAGCTCAAAGGGTTCAATCAGCTGCTACTCAGCATAGCCAGCTGGTAGCTAGTGATCTCTGTTAAAGTTTCTGCAATATTTATTTACATGGTTTCTGAATGCAAAACAGTATGGAACAGGAAGCATGCTGGATGGATATGAATCCATTTTTAAAAACAAATAAAGCATGCTGTTACCTAAAGATAAATAATATATTGATAGCTGTCTGAACTAAAAAGTAAAGAAAAGAAATAAAGACATCTGAGTTACACAACTGCATTCTGTATTTGCATTAACAACCTAAAAACAGAGGACACCATCAAAATTTGACCCAAACTACCATCTTAACACAGTTACTTATGTAAGAACTCTACTTTAACATTTAGTACTTTATCACACCTTAAAAAAAACCTTAAAAATCTTTTAAGTCATGGTGAAAAAAAGCCCCACACTAATTTGAGATTATAAATTACCTATAGGACATTTTATACTCAGATATTCTTAAACTATTTGTTTCAGCAAGCCAATTTTGGAAAATATTATTTTGGGGTTGATACTGAAATGATTTCCAAGGTTTATTTAGCACCAGTACAAATTAAAACAGGTATTGTGCTACACTTCTCATTAGGTGGTTGTGAGCATTGCTTATACTGATAGAACAGATTTAGAAATAAGTGGTGAAACAAAAAGTGAAAAGAAAGGCATCCCTTGCAAAGTGAAGGTCAAGAACATCATGCAAGAAAGACATCCTTACAAAAACCTGTCAAGTCTCTAGAAAAATTCATGTGAAACATGCAAGTTTTTTTAGAAGTTTACATTTCAATAAAATTAATAACCTCCACAACTATACATACATTGTACATAGTGATGGATCCTAAAAATAATTTTTTTCTGATCATGAATCAACTGAATTATCATGTCTGAATAATTATCAGGGTCTGAATAATCTCAGTGCATCCTAGCATAAATTTTCCTAATATACATGTGGGTATCAAGTTATCCTGAATATAACTTATTGCTACAAAACCTAGATGACCACTTGCATGTAAACATGCATGGTGAAATTCAGCATGGCTTAAAGAGGCAGTACTATTTCAGAATGTTTTTAAGACAAGAAAAATCAACCAACCAAAACAAATAAACAAACAAAAAATTAAAACACCTACAAGGCTCAGAAATTGACAGTAGGTAAATATAGACTGTTGGAAGCTTTTAAAGTAATAACTGTTTAGTCCCCGGGTTTTTTTTCAGGGCCATGTGGTTTCCAGTGTACACAAAGTAAAGAGTGAAAAGGTAAAAATAAAACAGGCATACCCTTAATATATTCCTGAATTCATAAATCATTTGTAAATTTAGTCCTTTTATAAAAGAATCCTTATATAAATTGGGGGGAGGGAGGGCATCAATCCCATATATGAAGCACAATTAAAGCCCAACATCACTGACCAATCAAAATTAGTGAATGCACTGCATCTCTCTGCAGTGAGGAGAAGCGACAAGGTAGGCTGTCATTCTGCAAAAGCTGCCCATCGCAAGCTTTCCTCTCAGAAGCACTGCTCTTCTTTTTTAGAAAGCTTGAATCTCAGTGGTGTCTCTGGAGACAAGAAGCCTTCAGTATGTTAAATTACTTTCATTATGTATTTTCAGATGCTTATTGATTCTACCGTAGGAAGAGTGGGAGACTGCAGCAGCCTGTAAACCAGAACTAAAGCAATTGTATACATGAGCAGTATGCTGAAACAATGGCACAGTACAGGCACAAATTTTCATTAAGGTCATTTTTTGAAGATATGCTTATTACCCTCTTTCCCTTCTACTCTGCTAACAAGTGAACAAAATGAATCCCTCCAACCTGGAACTGCTTCACCTGCATCGAGAATTTACCAAATCTTTAGTAGAGGTAAGACCTGTTCCTTATTATGATATACAGAATAATCAACATTAAACCAAATTAAAAATTGGAGGAAAAAAGGCAAGAGATCAGATTCAACTTATATTAAGCAGTAATATATTGGTATATTTATGATCAGGAAATATTTAAATGCTATTTCCCCTTCCCCATTAAAAATATAATGATAGCAACATGTTATTCTGTATGAAAGTCTTATAGAATATTAAGAACCTGTTTTGTTCGTACAACATGAAGACAGTACAGTTTAAGCTCATACAGTACTGGGGAAAACAACCACATAAAGCAACTGGGAATATTTTTCCTCCCTCAGCAGTATTTCCAATTATTGGCAGTTAAATATGTTTCAAATTTATTCTGTTACTCTTTGAAGGATCAGATAGTCTGTAATTAGTGCATACTTATTGCTTTATGAAGGTTGGCTCGTATGACTAATCTCTGATTACTTAAGAAATCCCCCTTTTTTGTTGTTTTTTTTTAAAACTTATTTATTTTGTTCTCCTGTACATACAAGCCATTTATTAAAAGCATGGATTTGCTAAACATTTATTTCAAGAAAGGAAAGGATAACAGTGTGCAAATTAAACAAAACCGTATTTTTAAAAGGCTCATTAATGCTGTTCAGTTTCTCATTAAAAAACAAGAGAGTTGTATGTATAAACTACCTGCTCACCAGAGCTATAAAACTACATTTTGTAGCTTTAGTCACAGACACTCTGCATCCAACTATTGCTTCTAGCCAGGATCTTTTGTAACCTGCACTATCTGGAGAATAGGAAACTTGTCCAAAAAACCTAAATTCATGTAAGCTGACAGAGGAATATGATTTTAATAGCAAGTAGAGAGCAGGCAAACTGTTTTTCTGTGTAATCTATAAGGTCCAATTTTACAGATCCTTTATTCATTAAATAAGTGATATTAGAAAATACATTCTTGCATTACTTTATTTTTGAAATTACAAGCCCTACTTTTAACCTTTTTTTTCCTCCCCTTCACAAGGGCATGCAGCAACTAATTCAGTTTTACTACTGACAATATGAAGAATGCAGTTGACCGGGTATCTTTGTAGCTGTATGACCTACGAGCAGCAGGATGCATCCCTAAAATGTATTCTTAAGACATAAAGGAATTAAAAACAAAACATGGAACACACTTGCATTACCATTTACGTGCATGACACTTCAACAATATACATGGAAGACTAACACATCTGCTCAGATTTTCATTAAAAGAAGAGTGCAATGATTGATTCTTAAAATGGTGAGCATTTCTTAAAGAGGGATTTATAATTTAAAACCAGAATTGTGGAAACTACTGATGCATGAAGAGACAATGAAACATGAAATCCCAAAAGGAGAATATGCATACTTCATCAGCAAGCTGAATAAAGGTTTAACCAAGCTTTTTCTATACTATTCATTAAATAACTTGTCATAATGACTAATGGATATTTTTCTCTCAATTTTATGATGTTATGTATTCTCCTTAAATCAAAATAAACCAAATTAGGTAACCCATGGTTACTCTCAAAGCACATGAACTGGATTTTATGATGTATAGCAACTTCTTTCACTAAGCCATCACTCAAAAGTAATGAGCAGGAATATGACAGAAAGAAATACGCAACCATAAACTAAGGATGTCTACACACTCTCTGAAAACAGAGATCAGAAAATATTATTTTTTAAACCTGGAAAATAAAAACAGGCTTCTACAAAATGCATCAGGGGAAGGAAATTAACATCACTTAAAAGAAGGTTTATTTATTATTGCTGGCTTGAAACTTATAACAGACACACAGAGTATGCCCTGGTCTGTAGAAGTATCCGAGGCAATTAAGAAGTCCCCATGTTTATTCAGAACTTTTTGCTGCTGAACTGCAGGAACCAAAAAAAGGAAAACAAAAAAAACCTGCAAGAAATGAAATCACAGCTCAGCTACCACTTGATTTCCAGGTTACAGTGCATTACAAAAATCTCTCAGTGACACCATGTGTCAGGTTCTGCCAAGCTGCTGCTACGCTGTGCCAGGCCCCTGAGGCACAGAGAGCAGGTAGGTGGCCGGCGCTGCCCGCGCGGCGCTGGGTGAACGAGCTCCTGGCCACACAGCTCTGCCTCCCGAAACCCAGGCAATGCAACAAGGAGGTGATGGTTAATCTATTCACGGTTTCCTAACACATCTCAGGTTTTCCGTTTTCACAAAATCTCGGTTGCTCTAAGGTTAGGGTGAGACTGTAATTTGTTTTAGCAGATCTGCTTTTGATTTCTTCCTGGCTTTTGCTAATACAAAAGAACTTAATTTATCCAGCAATGCATGTAGAATGGTTTCTTGAAACCCATTCACAGCCAGGACAGCATGCAAGAGGAGATCATTTCCCTGAGGGTTAATGTAAGACAGATAGAGGTTGCCTAAATTAGAAATGAAACAAAGCTTTTGAAATATTTCTTGTTTCATTTCACATCTGAGAGTAAAACGTTCTAATTTACATCTTTTTTATTTAAGAGGTACATGTGAAATAACTGTTGAAGAATACCAAGAATTTTCATCATACAATTTGCAATTAATAGTATTGTTCAACTGAGGCTTTTCAGAACTGCCGATGAAATCCATTTGCATACTGTATCCCAAGTGTGCTTAATTCATACTTTCATTTTAAAAGAGCTCAATTTTGTTCACCTTAGTGCTATCCGTTTTAATGTATTCAGAATAGAATAAAGGTAGACATTAAAATTTATTTTCATGCCAAATATTTCCCCTCTTAAATTTAAAAAAAACCCTCCAGTATCATAAGAAGAAATTTAGTAACCTTTTATTTATTCAATCAATTACAAACTCAAGAGCTGGCTGACGATAGAAATCATACAAACATCAGGTATTACATGCAGATGCTATATTTAGAACTTACCCACATGTTTAAAACTAAGCAGATGAGACACAAATTAAAAAATCTGCTATATAAAATAAATACCTTTTTGATCCTTACTTATTCCTAAGAGAAACATGGTATGTATGTAAATCTGTTTGGTTTAATTTCAGTTTGTATTAAAAAAAACAAACCCAAAACAAGACCTGAAAGAGATAATTTTCCTTTTAAATATTATTTGCGGAAATTATTTCCTTGCATATATTCTGGAACAAAATTAAATACTCTTCCATTCCCTGTAGGCACAGATTTCTTGAAGAAATTGAAAATTCTAATCAGAAAAAGGAAACGTTGCATTTTATAATAAACTCAATTTCTCAAACCCAAATAAGTTTTGCATTTGAAATTATGTATACTTTTATAAAGCTGTTGTAGTGGCAAGTATCATACACATAGATGCACAGAAGATAAAAATGAACAGAAGGTTTAGACTCTAAAAATCTGGTGAATTACAGAACATCACATTTCAGACCATAGCACTACTGTAAACCTTACAAGAGAGAGGTGGATAAACTGGCATAAATAATTTAAACATCCTTTTTATGGGACATGAGCAACAGTGCTCCATGTTCCTATCACTTATTTTTCCACAAGAGCTTTTTAAAATGATCTTGATCACTAATTTGTTAATACTTAACAACATTCTTCTAAAATGACCCTCAAAGCAATACAAAGGCTATGCACAAAGTATGGTTTATTCAACAAATGAGCCCTTTGTGAAAAACCACATCACTATAAACAAAGGCTTGCCTCCCTAAGTGGAAGCTTTTCACTATTTTTTCTTTTTTCAAACAAATCCTGCTTTCTTTCAAAAAGCAAAGACCTTATTCTAGATCTTCAGGCTTTTGAGTCTATGCCAATTAAAGCTCTAAATATACTGTAAATGAAGAGTTTGGTAACAATATTGCTTTTCCTCCCTCCTCCTTCCCCAGCATTTACCTACAATAAGTGTTTAAAAACAAAATCAAATAGTTCCATATTTTATTTCACCTTTCAGGAGAAAAACCATCGGCAACAAAAGAATGTGTTTGTCCCCCATTCTGGAAGTCAACATGCAGTCCGAATCTAATATTACAGTTCGAGATGCCATTGATGACATCGATACCAACATGTACCAACCACTGTCATATCCATTAAGCTTTCAAGTTTCTCTCACTGGATTTTTGATGTTAGAAATTGTTTTGGGACTTGGCAGCAACCTCACCGTGCTGGTACTTTACTGTATGAAATCCAACTTAATCAATTCTGTCAGTAACATAATTACAATGAACCTTCATGTACTTGATGTAATAATTTGTGTGGGATGTATTCCTCTAACTATAGTTATCCTTCTGCTTTCACTGGAGAGTAACACTGCTCTCATCTGCTGCTTCCATGAGGCTTGTGTCTCTTTTGCAAGCGTTTCAACTGCAATCAACGTCTTCGCTATCACGCTGGACCGATACGACATCTCTGTAAAACCTGCTAATCGAATCCTGACCATGGGAAGGGCTGTGATATTAATGACATCAATATGGATCATTTCACTTTTTTCCTTCCTGATTCCTTTCATTGAAGTAAACTTTTTCAGTCTTCAAAGTGCAAGTACTTGGGAAAATAAGACACTTCTGTGCGTGAGTACAAATGAGTACCACACTGAACTAGGAATGTACTACCACATCCTCGTTCAGATCCCAATATTTTTCTTCACTGTTATAGTAATGCTAATTACATACACCAAAATACTCCAGGCCCTAAATATTCGGATTGGTACAAGATTTACAACGGGACAAAAGAAGAAAAACAGAAAGAAAAAAACTATTTCTTTGACCACACAGCATGAGACTACAGATGTGTCCCACAGCAGTGCAGGAAAAAATGTCGTCTTTGGTGTAAGGACTTCCGTGTCTGTCATAATTGCTCTACGCCGAGCTGTAAAACGGCACCGGGAGCGACGAGAACGGCAAAAGAGAGTCTTCAGAATGTCCCTTCTGATTATCTCAACATTCCTTCTCTGCTGGACACCCATCTCTGTTTTAAACACCACTATCTTATGTTTGGGCCCAAGTGACCTTTTGGTAAAGTTGAGATTATGTTTTCTAGTAATGGCATATGGAACAACTATATTTCACCCTCTACTTTACGCATTCACGAGGCAAAAGTTTCAGAAAGTTCTGAAAAGTAAGATGAAAAAGCGAGTTGTTTCAATAGTGGAAGCAGATCCCATGCCAAATAACGCTGTAATACACAACTCATGGATAGAGCCTAAAAGGAACAAAAAGATTACCTTTGAAGACAGCGAAGTAAGACAGAAATGTTTAGTACCTCAGGTTGTCACTGACTAGGTTTCAGTATTCACCAAAACACATCAAACGGAATATTTGAACAAGTTGTAAAAAAAAATACTGCCAAATAAGAAAAACTTTTTTAACTATTGGCGAGACTGTATATTTTCAATATATATGTTAAATAGAGTAGGTCTTGTATATTCAATTTCTTCATTATGTAAGATATATGTTGCATGGCTGTTTGTTAGCGTAACACCATGTGTATATTTGTCAAAAATATTCAAGTCCTCTTTTTTTAGAAAATAAATAGCCTTAAAGAACTGCAAACTTTTAAAAATATTTGTATGGCTCAATTTCTCTGTAAATATAAAAGAATTTTTAAGCAAAAATTGCACTTGGGAATACTTTTCTATAGCACAAATTCACCATTTTTTACACTATGGTGTTTTTAAATTTAATTCATAAACAATATTGATCAGAGGTATTCTGAATATTATGCAGCTACAACCAGGATGCATTTTGACCTCATATTTAGATATCCCACTTATTTCAATCTTCTCCAGCATGCAACTACTATGCACAGAAAAAGCCATTTACATTATGTCCTTCAGTGAATGGTTCAGAAACTTTTGATATGGGGGAAAAAAAAAATCATGCTGGTCCAAAAATTGAAAATACCCTTACGAAAAGTAAAGTTTTACATATACAATCTTATATCCACAATTTCTACATGGAAAATACACAACTTTGAATAATTACAAAGGACAGGGCAGGGGTAAAAGGATAAATGAAAGAAAAAAGCACGGGTGAGAAAATTACTTGACTGATGCTAAAAGTCAATCCTGTGCAAAGGTTTAGTTTTTCACACTGACCTCTAGTGTGACAGAAGCACCTTTCATACAGGAATTTTTAATTCATACCATTTATCTACATAGATATGACTAGTAAATGCCACAGCTAAAGTAGGAGGTAATTTTTCTTGCCCTTGATAACTTTATTATTTTCCATTGTGTTTAGCTCTAGCCATGAAATTGCCTTGTCACAAACCAATCACCAATACTGCTAGCTACACTATTCCTGCATTTCCTGGGCAGCCACGGCATACCTTTGCTCTACATTGTCTTCTCCAATTTCATCTTAAACCTGCATAGGCATATCAAGAAGCCTTAGGAATTTATCATCACTCACAGCACTTGTAAGCAAGAATTAAGATATTCATACAAACATAAGTTTGTCAAGTTGTTTGCACCGTGCCATGCCTAAAAATTTCTTAATTTCAATGAAACAGTGGCAGGGAGGGGGAAACAAAACAAAAAGCTGCAAAATCAATCAGCATGATTTCACTCCTCTTGTTACATAAACTGATCAGTGTGTCACCAGCTACCAGTATATTTAAAATGCTAATTCTCAATAACTATTATCTTATATAAAAAAGCAGATCATACCCTTGAATATGAGAGCTAGTTTGACTAAAGTATTACATAAAAAATTAGGATTTCTAAAGCACTTTTTTGAAGTTAATAAATAAGTGCACTTATTAACTTTATTAATAAAATTAATAAAATAAGTGCAGTTTTAAGGGAACAAAAAGCTATTTTCCACCACATAGCTAAATTATTAATCATATGTGTATTGCCAAAACTGGTTTTGTGCTTAAAAAAAGTACTAGTAATGTATCTGAGTTTACTTGACCTCATGCCTTAGCTGACTAGAACAGAAGACTTAAAATATAATACTACAGCTCCATATTCCACAAAGAATAGCCACTTATAATCAGGTAAATTCTACCTAGAAATGTTATAATTTGATTGATGTGAAATGATGTAAAATTACTGTGTAACATACATTCAGACATACTTTCATATTTTCACTGGCCCAAAAATACCTGCATTCAACTGTACCCATTTAAATCACTTTTTTATCCATGTTATTTCTGATTTCCTACTAGAATGGTAATCCAGTATCTTATTTGAGAGGCTGCAGAGAGGAAGTAAATGCAATAAGCTTTTTTTTTTTAACTCCATGTCCTCCACATTTACCACTTTAAAAAATTCTTTTGGGAATAATTTCTGAAAAGAAACACACCCAAAATATTTAAGCAGAAACTATTATTTTTCTTTTTTGTACCCCTCCTTAATTTCCTTCTCCAGCTACCCTCTGTATTTTGAACAGTAGAAGCAGATGAAGCTGGGATGTGTAGGGTTAATATTATAACATGATTTCAGTGATTACTAATTTTCCAATAAAGCATTCTTAAATGAAAGATACTACTCATTCATTTAAAATGAAGGAAAGGAGAAATGATAATGAACAGATTAATAAGTCTACATCATGTCCTTATCTGAAAAAAGCATTTAGAAAAGCTTTCAGACTTGAAAGGTTTCTTGACAACATAACCTTACTTCTTAAAATTAAATAAAACCTCAAGAATTACACATTTAGTGTTAAAAGCTCATTCATTAGAAAATCAGATGCAATGAAGCAGCACTTCACAGCAGAGGAAGAGTAGCCTAGGAATTGCCTAAAGAGATTAAGCCCAGTTTTAAAGGCTGTGTCAATCACACTCATTGATTGCCTTTACAAATATAAGCAGGTTCATTTTTACTATTCTTCATCTTCATTAAATTTTTAAATAGTGGACTTTTACTACATTGGAGCACACTTTGAGGGCTGCAGCAGAAAATTCTACATACAGCAGGAAGGAATACAAGTAAGAATATGTGCCATCCTACATACACCCAGAAGCCATCATAAAACAAGACAATACAATATCAGTACCACATTACAAATTTAACACAAGACAAAATAAAAAGTAAATTGTGAAGACACACTACATATCCTACAGACACAAGAGGATTTCAGGAGTGATATGATGGTGGTGGGTGCTTGACAGATAGACTAAAACAGAATGCAAAGAGGCAGCATCGCTGAAGAAAAAAGGGCAAATTTATGCCATAGTATTGTACAATAAGAAGCCCACTACATTCTTAAAAATTATCTCACCACAGTGAATCATTAGTTCAATTACATTTCACACCACTCAGCCTAAGGCAAGCAGAATTGTACAGGACTCCAAAAATATTACTTCCAGCAAACATATCGCAGAAACACAAGCAAGCACTGCCAATTTCTACATGTTCTCTGTCTCTAAAGTATTAGCTGGTATCTGACTATGTTGTTTTTTAACTGCAAATGCATTTCCATTCAATTTTACATTATAAAATGAAGTTATTCCACACTAAAATTACCAAAATATGTGGAGTGCAGTGCCAGGATCTATTAGGATATTCAAGAAGCATACCTTCACACACTAGTACACCACAAAGCTGTGAAACAGAAATGTAAATACATCGCAAATATCTAGTTTCTAGTACACAACAACTCTTATGAATTACAAGGCACGTAATCTACACATGGTCAGAAGTTCTGTTTACCTTATTAGTGCAAAGGAAAGAGCAGTCACTTTTGTACTTTCTTAATATATTAGATTAAAAATGTATGCAGTTGGATACGCATCAGATCAATTAACCCCTCCTCCTTCGTTGTTACATAAATATACAAATGTATGTCATACATAATTATTATTTATTTGGACACACTAAAAGGTGGGTTTAACATCAGCATCTATTTTTTATTTATATGAAGGAGGTTTGGTAAGAGTATCACTGAACTGGACTGACAGGCACTATGTCCCACCACACATAAATTTAAACATCCTATATTCCCCACCCTTGTTGGATTTTTTTTCATTTTAAATTAAATAATATATTGAAAGGCTACAGAATTTACCCAGACAGGAGAACAAAATTTCTGTTGTGTTAATCATTAAATATACTATATTGCAGTGCACACAGTACTTCTTTTTAAAGCAATGTATTTGCTAATCATCAAAGTTCTTTGATAGTTGAATATTCTAGACTTATGTTTGTTTCCTACGAAAAAAGTTTTAGTTGCCAATTGCCATCAGACTCCTTTGAAAGGAGAGACTACAGCATTCTTTGGCAAAGTTTTGATGCAGTATTAAAAAAATCTAGAATATGCTAAATACTCTTCTGTTGCCTCATTATTCAGACAAAATATCTCCAACATACAGCTAAGAACAATCAGCTTCTGTCTTAAAATTTTCCAGCCTTATAAGAGCTGAATTCTACTCCTACTTCACACATTCTGCCATTATATCACTGAATGTATTTACCTTATACCAAGAGGAAAGAAGAATCTGACTATATAATTACCATCTCCTTTTTCTACTTCACAGAACACTCGTGCAATTCAAGAGGCAAAATGAACTCCAGGGTTTGGGTTTTGTTTTGGTGGGGGAAGGTTAAAAAAAAAAAAAGGAAAAAACCACATACTAACTAACAAGAAAATCAAAATCACTCAGAGCCAACAAGAGTTTAAAGAAGAAGGATGTGAAGAAGGAGAAGAGTACAGGTCCAGCAGAAAATGGCAGAAGGCAGAAGGAAGCACTCTAAGGCAGCTACGGCCATCAGGACCACAGAAAGGCAGAAGGCAACATGCACTTGCTGTGGAAAAAATACTAACCTTATTCTTTAGGTTGTAACAGCAAAAAAAAAAATAAGAACTTGCCTTTGAATCACTGAGTGTGATATGTGGTTGTGCCAAAATTGCTGGGAGGAGAGGGGAGAGCAAGATGAATAGCAGCTCCAGAAAAGGCTTTTGATTTAGCAAAATATACACAGAATAACTGACAAACAAAAAGCATGCACAATTCTATTACCTCTTTTCCTACAGATAAAATACAAAGTACACACAGAGTACAAGCATTACAAGAGAAGACTTGAAAGGTTAAGCATGTGCTCTCAGTGATACATTTTAAAATACGGTATTGAATTTTCCTTTAGTCAGGTAACTTCAGTTCATGTGGATGCTTTGAGTGTTTCACTACAAACGTATATGTTCAACTACTGCTTTTTTATCACAATTTAGTTATTTTTGTAGAGTAATAAATTGAAGGTGATATATCATTAGGCATCTTTATATTCTTTGCTAAAATTACACTTCAGTGATTATTATAAATTTAAACAGAAAGGGAGAAATATCTGCTTGTGTGCTTACTTTATAGATTTATGTATCATCTTGTTTTCCTATTTTACAAAGAAATTCTCACACAATGAAAAGAAATTTACTTGAAATGAAAAACCAGGAGATTTACAGTGAAAGTTCTGTGGTAGGTACACAATCTGAAATTATTAAACCGATTCTTTTTATAGTTTGAATGAACTGTATCCTTTGCATATAAACATTATTCTGATTCCTGACACTGCAGTCAGACAAGCAGGCAGGCTGAGAGCACAAAGCTGTTGGCACACAGAACA